ACGGACTTATCCCGTTGTTTTTGGCATGGCAATGGCAGTAACTTGGTGAACAACAGTTTCTCGGGAACCATCCCGCAGCAACTGACAGCACTTGTTGATCTTAAAGACATGTGAGTGATGACACACATGGCACATGTGGGTGATGGCACACTTGGCACATGTGGGTGATGGCACACATGGCACATGTGGGTGATGGCACACATGGCACATGTGGGTGATGGCACACATGGCACATGTGGGTGATGGCACACTTGGCACATGTGAGTGATGGCACACATGGCACATGTGGGTGATGGCACACATGGTACATGTGGGTGATGGCACACATGGCACATGTGGGTGATGGCGCAAGTCAATTTTGCAGTTAGGCTGGTTGCTCGAAAAAGATAACATGTCAGTTGAATCTCAACCCCCACACAACATTAATCCACGGGACATGTGTCCCTCCACCAGTTACATCGCATCGCAGTTGCCCACTCACGCCAAATACAAATTTCCTATCACTTCCATGAGGGCATGACATTTCACAAATTAAAATCATCAATGCTTCAGAGACTTTTAGGCTGACTGATCTTACCAGTTTCCACAGGCGCCTAATGAGTTCCATCCCTGCTTGCTTGTTGATGGCCAGAGCTGATCAGGGCGCGCTGAGAATATTTTGGCACGCAATGGACTGGGTGGTGGATCTCCACTCGTTTTTTTTGTTTTTGTTTTTACCTTTCTTAGTCCTCCTATTCTTTCAGTTGCACATTAATATGTCTTCTGTCCCAGACGCTAGGAGCGGAATAACTAACTGTGACTTTCGAGGATTGCAAACCCCAATTCTGAGAGCATAATGACGCCCGTAAGCAGGCATGAGCTAAGTGCCTGGCCAGGCCGGGTCGATCCAACTGGACCCAAAGTTTTGCCCGGGTTGGGCCAACCTTTCCCAAACGCCGACCCGGCCCGGCCGTGTCGGGCCGGGTATACCCGGCCAGGTCGTGTCGACCCGTGACCTGATTTGATAACCTTTGCCTGGGTCAGGTCAACCCGGCTACCCATGTCGACCCGATCCAAAACCAGATTGGATCGGATTGGATCCGATCTGAGGTGGGTTAAAATACCAGAAACACAGGAAACTCACCCGTCAAATACGAACCCTAGCCACTTACAGGCCGTAAGCCATCTGGCTCGTGATGAGCCGACCCGACTCCCCCACAACCCCTAAGGTCAAGCGTGATAAGGCTTAAAATCCGCTCATCACACCGCTTTTTCCAGAATGGTGAAGTCACCCCCTTCGTCCCCATCATGTGCACTGGCCCTGGTACGGCCTGGCCAGGCTTGCAATCAGCTCGTGACAGTCTGTTCGCTAAACTCAAACGCCCTCCCTCCGCCCCGTTGTGAACTGAGCTTTGCCCGGCCCTGCCTGCTGCAGGCTCAGCCTGCTGCGTCAGTGTGCAACATTCAGCACAATCATTCGCCGCCTGTGTCACACGTTGTCCCCCATTCCTCCTCCCATCGTTTCCCCTCCCCATCTCCTTTCCAGCGCTTTGTCGAACAATCATTTCCATGGATCAATTTCACCTGAGCTGTTTCAACTGCCTCAGTTGTACTCGCTGTGAGTTTCCGCCTGGTAGCCACGCACTTCTCTTAGCCTTCTTCCTTTTCCCCTCATTCCCTCTAATATTTTTTATTATTCAGTTTGGGTGTCAGAATTTTGGCGGAGCGAGAGAGTGAGAGAGAGGGAATGTCAGCCCGTATGTCTACTCTCTGGTTGAAAATCTAAAGGCGGATGTCACCATCCGTCATCCCCTGACTGGAGAAGTGTGGATGTGCGACGTGACCGTGACGGAACCGGTGTCTTACCAGGACGAGAACTGCAACTGAGCTCCTGGATGGGCGGCTAGGGCGGCAGCAGCTAGGAAGGAGGAGAAGTACGCACGCAGGAACGCGTGGGTGGGGTTCCACGCGCTTGCAGTGGAGACTTACGGCTACCCCTCGCCAGGGGTGATGGCCTACCTGCGGCAATGCGCGGAGCTGGCGGCAAAGCTGCGTTTCAACGCAGCACCAACCTCTTACGAAGCAGCTAAGCTGCTGACAGAGTACCGCCAGCGCTGGAGCGTGTGCCTCCAGCGGGCGCAGGCCAATGCCCTCCGCACCAAGACCAACGAGGCCTTGGCGGCGGATGAACCCGGCTTTCGGGGCCCCATCATCCCTCTTAGTGAGGGACAGCTGCACCAGCTGATTGAATCCCCGTTCGACCAGTAGGGCCGGACAGAGGGGGGGAAGCGGGAGTAGGTAGGGGACGTGGGGTAGATAGGATACCGGTTTACGTGTTTGTTTAGCTTGTGGGTTTGCATCTTCCACTGTACCACCGCATAAGTAATGCAAGGGCCATTCGGGAATGTTAGCCTAGCCCCTTTTCCCTCTCAGCCCTGTCCCTCCCAGCCCTGTCCTAAGGGTATATAAGGGTAGTTCCTTCTCCTATACCCATACCGATACCTTCCCCCCCTCCCCTCCCCCCACTTTCCTTCCCCTCCCCTCTCCCATGCCGCCCTGCTGTAGGGAACTGGGAAACAACTTCTTCTCAGGTGGTCTTCCAGTGCCACTCAACGCGTCACCCACTCTTTTAATTCTGTGAGAACTGTGACATGCTTTCAGCGCTTTCACGAACGTGGGGTGCACATATCTAAGCCAAGTGCCAATCCATCCTGCGCTTGTTCCCCCCTCCATCAAGGAAGGTTAGGAGCCTTGCCAGGTTCTGTGCCTCTGCACTGCACTCATCCCATCACCTGCGCTTCCTGTAGCGTCGCGTGCTCACCCCCTTTCAGTGGTATGCCCCTTCCAAGCTCTACCCTTGTTGTGCTCTCCCACTGTTTTCTCTGCTTCCACTACCCTGTAGTATTCTGGAGGGAAACGGCCTTACAGGCGCCTTACCGGACTTTGCTCGCTGGAATGTCAGCCTCAACATCCTGTACGCCACCCTCTTTTCTCTCTCTTTCTCAAATTGCCCATTAGTTCGTCAATGGCAAGAAGTGCAGCCTTAGATATATAGCAGGCATCAGCAACACTTCCCAGCCACGTGTAGAACGTGCTTTTTTGAGACATCTCATAAGTTCACTTTCTACACGTGGCAAGAAGTGCAGCCTTAGATATATACGAGGCAAGAATGTCAGCCAACCGCTTTGAAACTCTGGTCATCAGCTTAGCTCGTGTACCAAGCCACCGATCTCGTTATGCTGGCTCCCTAGCCTCCAGATCAGCTCGTTCGCCGGCTGGCTCGTCATAGCTCAGACCCAGTCTGCTTGAACCCTCAATCATGCCTATCAGATGCCAGTGACCTCTCTCAGAGGCTAGAGTGGGGCTCTGCGAGGTGAATCAGGTAACCCTCTCGCAGTAGCTCTGCCAGGTTGGTGGCTAAGGCTGAGTGTATCTTGCAGTGCATGGCATTGGCATGAGCCCTTTGGGAGGTAATGGTCAAGTCCTGACAGAACTTGTAAAATAATTTTGCTGGTTGGGAGGCGTTTTAAAGCAGCAGATTGGGCACATGTTCGTAGGCAATGAGCTGCAGCCGCAGTGAAAGAAACTGAAGCCGCGATTGCAATCAGTAAGAAAGAGTTCGGAGAGGGTGAGTGTGTCTTTTTTGGGGAGTGGGGTAGAGGTTTGTAAGGAGAGTGGCATGAAGAAAGAGCATAGCTCCATAGAGATTAAGGGGTGGAGGCATGAGTGGATGGATGACGAGCATGACATGGTGAATGCGCATGCATTTCAGCAACGACATTCAGCAATGAGGAGTAGGAAAAGTTGTAGGTTTGCTGAGCGCCAAGTTTCTCGTAGTAGTAGGCAAAGGCATAGTTGATTCTGGAATTTAATCGTAATAGGAGGCAAGGGCATGGTTGAGGAATTGACCATAGCCATTCATATGGAGCCGGCAAATAGGATGGCACACGGGAACGCGTGCCTGCTCAGGCTAGGTGATGGGCAGCGACTGTGGTCGTCCAGGAGGACAAGCACAAAGCGATGGCTCAATGGTCCATGTGGACATGTCAAGAAGGCCATTTTGAAAATGAGGTTTGGAATGGGGGGGACGCGTGTACATAGTGAGGAACGGCTTTATACGGATGGGAAAATGTGCCTTCTCCTCCATGCCCTCATCATCACACAACACAACCCTCGCATTGCATGCGTTTTTTTCAGGGCTCTCAACAACAACTTCACGGGATCTATTCCCGATTCCATTTCCTCGCTGACTGCTCTTGAGAGAATGTAATCTCTTGCACTCATGTTGCAATCATTAGTGCAGCATGATCCTCGCATAGTGTGTGAGTTTACCAAATATGGGTTTGTGTGCAAATATGCCATGCAACAGGAGTTTCTAGCAGCATGTGTGCGCGTTGCACTCTAAGTCTCTATGGTTGGTCCCCGTTTCAGGTTCACACCTCGTTCCTTGCTTGCCCGCACAGCATCCTGAACAACAACCAGCTCTCGGGCTCCATACCAGCTTCCATCTTCAACATGACCAGCCTCAAGATCCTGTCAGCCTCCGCTCCCTGTCACCATCAACTAACAGTCACTGCCTTGGGCTGTTGCTCATTATACACCGCACACTTGCACCCTCCTATTATCTCTCTAACACCAATGCAAACTGCCTGCTTCTATATCTGGCTGCATTCTTCTCTTCTGCAACCGCTACCTTCCCCCATAATCCCTCGCCATCCTCTCTCACACCACGCCTCCCTTGCACCATGGCTCTCTCATTTACTAGTTTCTGTTGCGGCCCTCCCATGCATGCAGCTACCTGGCCAACAACCATCTGAGCGGCAGCCTGCCCGCTGACATCAGCCGACTTGAATAATTTGCAGCAGCTGTGAGGCCCCTCTCTTCCTCTGCTGATCCCTCAATCCGTCCACCAGCCTGCGCGCCCCTCTGTGCGCCCCTCGGTCCGTCAATCTATCCATGCCTTTTTTGTAGGCGACCAGAACCTGTCTTGCCTCTCTTCCCTAACTCCCTACCCCTCCCAGGTGGCTGGACAACAACAGCATCGAGGGTCCGCTGCCATCTGCCATCTGCTCGATTCCCAGGCTGTGGCGCATGTGAGTGGCTGTGGCGCATGTGAGTGGCTGTGGCGCATGTGAGTGGCTGTGGCGCATGTGAGTGGCTGTGGCGCATGTGAGTGGCTGTGGCGCATGTGAGTGGCTGTGGCGCATGTGAGTGGCTGTGGCGCATGTGAGTGGCTGTGGCGCATGTGAGTGGCTGTGGCGCATGTGAGTGGCTGTGGCGCATATGAGTGGCTGTGGCGCATGTGAGTGGCTGTGGCGCATGTGAGTGGTTGTGGCGCATGTGAGTGGCTGTGGCGCATGTGAGTGGCTGTGGCGCATGTGAGTGGCTGTGGCGCATGTGAGTGGCTGTGGCGCATGTGACCTCCTCAACAGACCCCGACCCAACACCCTCTCCTCTTCCCAGACCCCTCTGTCGAATCCCATTCGCATCATACCTTTTGCATTCCCCATAGACATCATTTCCCCTCGATACGTACCATGTATCTTCTAGCTAGAGTGCATGTGATCTTTGGTGTGTGTGTGTGTGATGTTGTGGCAGCATTGCGAGCAACAACCGCCATAATGGGCTCCTTCCAGACTGCCTTTTCAACAAATGTGTCAACCAGATGTAAGTCGCAACATAATTAAGTGGATTGATGCGAAAGGGATACATGCAGTGCAATGTATAGGCATGCTGGAAGCAAGAACAAAATTCAACAGAGGTCACATCAGCATCACTAGCTCCAGCACTCAATAACTTCACAACAGCCAATAATGTTACACGCGTCAATCCACAGCCAATAAGGTGAGAACAGCCGATAATGTCACTAACTTCAGCTCAGCCGCATCACGCCCTGCCGCTCCAATTTCTAAAGGACTGAATTCGAGTCCGCTCTTGCTGCCCATGCAGTCAGATTGACCATCAATTGCACTTTTTGCTCTTGCATGTATCAGCTTCGGTATTACTTCAATAATGTGCAGAACGCTCACTGTACGGACAGCATTATGCAGCTCTGGGTGACTGCATGTTGATACCCAACCAAGTTCGTGTGCTGCTGTGCTCTGTCGCTGCTTCCTCACGCATGCACCTATTCGTGGCCTCATGCATCCAATTAGTATCTCAAACTCACAAAGCAGCTGCTGTCCCACAATATGTACTGCACCTGTCACCTCCCATACCCACTCTCAACTCTTTCAAATGGCAGTGATGTGAGTGGTAACAGCCTGTACGGGCGCATCAACCGCAACTTCAGGAACATGGTGGCGGATGGCGATGCCCTCATCAACTTGGTCCACAACTTCTTCTTCGGCGATGCCGTGCTCTTTGCTGCCGGCTGCCAGATCTGCCCCGTTGAGATCAGCGAGCCCAACCACCTGGTGGTGGCGGAAGCCAATTCCGGCAAAGGGGCTGGGAAGTGCATTGGTGGCATAAGTCCCATGAAAGATTACTCAGTTGGCGGGGCAGGCAAGGGCGCGAGGGTGAGTATGTCAGGCAACTGCCTGACTCTCAGCCCGGACGCGGATTGCCCCTCCAACGCCACCCAGCGCAGCACAGCAGCCTGCCAGGCGTTCTGCAGCATCACTGACAACGGCCCGTGTGACGGCCATGGGGAGTGTGTGCCACCAGCACCCGCCTCCCCCTCCAACTTCACGTGCCTCTGCCATGCCGGCTACTCTGCTCTTGACTTGGGCAATGGCTCCACCTGTGCTGTTGTCAACTCCACCACCACCACTGGTGAGCCATAACCCCACTGGTGAGCCATAACCCCACTGGTGAGCCATAACCCCACTGGTGAGCCATAACTTCACCACTATAGCTCACTTGCGCTGTCACACTGTCACACGCCCCACACTGCCTCACTGCCCCACACTGCCTCACTGCATCGCACTGCCTGGAATGGAATGCGCTGCGGCGGCTACACCAACGTAGCCGGCTCACACTGTCCCACCCGTAGCCTCTCTCCACTGCTTCCACCCCACCACAACATTCCTTAACAGTTCTTTCATGCTCACACTGATTTTTTCTACTGCATTTTTTCCTAGATTCTAGAATCTCTCCACAAGCAGCCCTTTCACGTCCCTGGTGCTCTCTCCACTCCCCTCCTACCTCACTCCCGCTCCCTCCCCCGTTTCTCCCTCACCCCCCCTGCCCTGTCTCAACCGTGTCCTCTCTCTCCACGGCACCATAGCGGGCATTGCTGTGGGGTGCTTTGTACACTCTGCGCTGATGAGCTGACTCTACATTTGCTTCTGTGCCCACCCTTCCCCTTCCACCCCTAACAGTCTCCTCGATCTCCACGGGTGCCATAGTGGGCATTGCTGTGGGGTGCTTTGCTGGCCTCACTCTCCTGGCTGCCATACTCGCATGGCTGCTGTGGCCCCGCAAACAGAGTGAGACCTCCAACCCTGCTGCCCCCTCTCCTGAAGCTATCTCCCCCCCATTCCTCTTGCATACCATTCTGCATCCTCCATCGCTCTTCTTCCTCTCAGAGTCCACCCAACGCTGTAGGATCCTTTCAACCGTAGTCATCCCCCTGCTATTTTTAAAATGCTCTGCATGGATGTCTCGTGTGCGTGCAGGGAAGTGGGGGGGGCTGGACGTGTGTGAGCAGTACACGCTGCAGCAGATATTGACGGCGACAGACAACTGGGCAAAAGAGAATGAGCTGGGCAAGGGAGGCTTTGGCATTGTGTACAAGGGCTGCTCGTCACAGGGGCAGCAGTGGGCTATCAAGCGCTCTACCGTCATGACAAATGAGTTTGAAACAGAGGTGAGTGCCATTCTGCCTTTAGAATGTGTTTCCACGTGTTTTGCAATCTGGGTCTCACTCGTCTAGAAACGAATAACAGGATATTCACAAGAAAACCATTTCTTCTTTCTTTCTTTCTTTCTTTCTTTTCTTTTCTTTTTGTCACATGGTCTTCTTTCTTCATATTTTTGTTCTTTCACAGGTGCGAGCCATGGCATCCCTCCACCACACGAATCTGGTGCGACTGCTGGGCTTCTGTTTGGATCAGGATGTGGAGACGGGCAAGCAGGAGCAGATCCTGGTGTACGAGTATGTGGGCAACAGGGACCTCGAGTACCACATCCACAAGTCCAAGCGTGAGTCCCAGAATGCTGTGTGAATCTTGGTGAATCCTTGCTGCCCCGTTTGGCGAATGAAATTACTCTTACCCAACCCCCCTGCTGCTTGATTCTCCAACTCATCGGCTCTGCTCCACTCTCTATTCCCTCTAGCAATTTTAATATTACACAAGGTAAAACCACCGCGCATGTCCCCTCACTCTGCACCAGGCCCGCTCTCCATGAGGCAGCGACTGCGGCTGGCACAGGGAGCAGCAGAGGGTCTGGCGTACCTGCATGGGTTTGACACGCACATCATCCATCGCGACATCAAGCCCGCCAACATCCTTGTGACGGCCGACATGCAAGCCAAGGTGGCCGACTTTGGGCTGCTCAAGCTGCTCACTCACGGCGGCTCCGATGCCACACGAGTGGCAGGCACTCCGGGCTATGTGGACCCCGACTACAACCGCACCAGCTTTATCACTGCTAAGAGTGACGTCTTCAGGTCTGCATACGTTGCTCTGTTTGACCGTAGAATGAGCTTACCATATTCTCTTGTAGTCCCATTTGTAACCTGCATAGGCTACACCATGCTTCTTGTTTTTGTGCTGGTTAGAAGCTGGTTCTGTGCTGCAGCTACAGCTCATTCCTGAGTTATAACTCTCAGTGGCTGATGCATGTCTCTGTCCAAGCTGGTTCTGTACTCCCTCCCTGCCCACTGCCATGAGCGCTTTCAGCTTTGGAATAGTTCTTCTCGAGTTGTTGACAGGAAAGGCACCTCGAGATCTCCTTGGTCTTCCTATCAAAGACTGGGTAATTGACCTTGTCCCTCGTCAAACCCACCCTGGCCTCCTGTCATCATGAATAAACTTATTATCTCATTCATCTGTGCTGCATTATCTTGCATAGCCTCTACTTTTGAGTCGCATATCCTCTGTATCGTGCTGCCTTGTGCTTCCTTTCCTCTAATCTTGCTGCTGTTCACTGTGTCTCCACTTGAGCATGCTGCCTTTAGTTTCATTCCTTCTTCTGTATGAATCCGTCGCCATGGCCCTTCCTGTTTCTCCACCTTCATCTGCCGTTCCTCTCAATCTTGCTCCCCTGTATCACACCTTCCCTCTATCACACTTGGTCGCGCGGGCTCACTGCAGGTGATGAAGAAGGTGGAGGCGCACGAGTTATGCCAAGTTAATGCACGAAATGACTTGTTCCTCTACTCTTGCTGTCTTGCACAATGAGTTGTTTCCTCTCTAACTTGTTTCTTTTCAGGCGCTGAAGGAGATGGAGGCATATCACTTGGACGAACTCAAAGACAGCAAGCTAGAAGCAAGTGAGGGGGCTATAGTGGACTTTGCTGACCTGGCTCTGGACTGCGTCAAGTCACCGGGCACACGACGGCCTGACATGGGGGATGTTGCATACCGTCTCAAAGTGCTCATTCAGAAGCATTGCCCAGAATCGGAGGCCAATTGGGAGAGCACGGAGCAGGCAGATAACACAAGTACTGGTGATTCGTTCCCACGGTCGGAAGGTGGTTCTGCGTGCAATATTGGTGGACGAGAGTCACACATGGGGTCTCAAGTGTCTCAAGGCTCGCTTGGACTGAGCGGGTCCTCCTCGAGCAGCTTCGGCTTGGGGGTTACTGGCATCAAGAGCTGGCTGCACACCCGGTTTCAGGGCCTCAGATATTAGAAGAATATAAAACAATAGCAATCTAGAAGAATGCCAGTAGCGCATCAGCCTCGTATAGACTTCCTCACTATTGCGATTCATGTGAAACGATTCTGTCAATGTTAGTTCTTATAGGCTAGAAAGGGTTAGGCTTTAGTGAGTATAACTCTTGCACCTCTGTTCCCTGTACCCCACTCTCTAGTGCAATTTTCTCTCTTGACAAGGTATCGATCTATGTTAGGCTAGGTTTCTAATTAGCCAATTATCCTGCCTAGTCTAGCGCTGCCCTTAGCCAGCTCGAACCTCTTGGTATCACAAACGCCTTAGTCGGCAAAAGATACTTGCTAATGCCGATCTCGTTCTCCACAATCATACGATTTCACCAATACGCGCAGCTCTAAAAAAGGCCCTACGCCGGCCCACTCACCACAATAACCCTCCTCTGTGCCTCCACCTGCGCGGCCCACTTGGGGTGGGGTTGGAAGTCAGTTTCCTGGATGCAGCTCTCGTCCAGCGACGGGCAGTTGGTGGGGTAACGCGTGGGCGAACGGCTGCTGTCCGCGAGGGGCGCCTCTGAGCATGACCCCACGCCGAGCAACCGCTCGTACGCAAACTCATAGTCGGGGCACGAGGGGCCGCGCGAGGCGCGTGGCGGGGGTGCGCTATTGGGTTTGGGCTTGGCCTCGTCGGTGAAGCGAGTGGCGTCGAGGTGCACGCGCTTGAGAAGTGTGCAGGAGATGTCCACCGTCAGGTTCGAGCACCTCCAAGGGGAACTGCCCATCAATGGGCTTCCAGTGCGTGTGTGGCGCACTCAGAAACGCGCTCTCCCCTGCTGCCCCTCCCCCCGCTGCTCTCCCGGCCCCTCCACCTCCCCCAACTGCTGCTGCTGTTGCTGCGCCCGAGGTGGCACCCTCCGCGCCCCACTGCTGCTGGGGGAACGCCTGGGCTGCCATGCCGCTGCTCCACCCGTTGCTCTCCCCGCCCCCTGCGCCGGCCCACTGTGCGCCCTATCCGCCTTGCCCGCAGTGCTGCATGGGCAGTGCCCCCTGTAGCATTGTCTGTTAGGGCTTGCGGAGATAACTTAATGAACGGGAGTTAGACTACGGGCTAGGCACGGGGCTAGAGTGTGATATCTGCATTCGTTCACTTAGTCGTGTCCTTGTGCACACACTACTTGCTAGTTCAGGGGGAAACTCGGCAAGAGTTTCACTAGGAAAAACATCATAATAATGATTTAGAATTATAGAAAACAAAATTGGCACGACTGACTACATCAGAGATAGCATGCAAGTAGGACGACTGCCGGCGCAGCACGGTCGACCGCGTTCTAGCACGACTTGCTCGATCGTGCTCCAGCAGTGCAAGGTTGCAGCCCGCCAACATTGCAAGTCGACGACGTGCCAACACTGCAGCAAGTCGGCTGCACAACGTTGCACCTGCACGACAGTATCGCACCCGCGTCGCAAGTGCTCGCAGATGATTGGCGGGATGCGTCCTGTCACCTGCACAGCGCACACACTGGATCGTCCTCATGCTGACGATTGCAACTGATCAGCCACGTCGACCTCGGGATACCACCCCGAGGTCGGCCTCGCCACGAACACCTGGGCGACGGTCGTGTGCCTCCGCAAAAAACCCGTCGTTCGGGTAACCTAGTCGACCGGGTAACCACCACGTCGACCAGCTCCTCCTTGTGCCCGTCGACCACCCAGGTCGACGACCCCCCCCCCTGGTCGACCGCACGAAGTCGACCACGCACCTCGTTGACCAGCTCCAGGCCGACGACACTCCTGGTCGGCCAACTCCAGGTCGACCAGCACACCCGTCAGCCGACCACCCAAGTCGGCTGCCCCAAGTCAGAGTCACCAAGTCGATGCCCTCCACAGGTCGACCTCACTAGTTGACCTCCCGAAGTCGGTGCCCTCCCAAAGTCGGCGCTCTTGCAGTGGCCCCTATACAGGCCGACTAGTCTCGTCGACCAGCTTGCCCACTGCTGCAGGTCGGCTGCATCTCCCGCGCACCCGACCACGAGGTCGGCTCTGCCCAAGCAAGGACGGGGCCTAACACAACTCCCGTTGACAGGGCTCAACCATCCCGCCTGATGCTCCCCCTCCCAATCCGCTCCACCTGCCCCTGCCAGTAGCCATTCCTCCAGCCCCTCCTCCTACCCCCCCTGCCCCCCCTTCGCCTGGCATTTGAATCCCCCCGCCTGCCCCCCACCCCCCTCCTTGTTGCGGAAACCCATTCCCCCCCCTCCCCGCGTACCACCCTCCAGCGGCCCCTTGCTACCCCCATCCCCCTCCCTGCGCACCCCCCATCCTATCGCAGCTAGCCAGCTACCGCGGCCCTCCCCCATCTTTCCTCCAGTCCCGCCTGCCAGAGCCCTGCCACCCACCTGCCGCGCCCACAAACTGGCGCCGATCCCCAAACCGTCCCCCAGCGCCTCCCCACTCCCCCCTACCCATTGCACCCCCGCGCGCGCCTCACTGGTCTGTTGGTGCAACCTTACAGTTTGCACTCAGCTTGTTGTCCGTATGCGTGCATGCGTGTGTGCATGGGATAGTATGAGATAATAATTCTTTCATGCTTGTAATAGTATGTGATTGATGAGATATGATGGTGAATGTGTGTGTCGAGTCAATCGCGAGTTATCGCAACTCGCGTGTCACGTTGTGGTTTGCGTGTCGTGTGCGGTTTCCTATTTTGTCGTGTGTCGAACGCCCGACATGTCGCAGGTGTGTGCAGCAAACTCCTAAGAACTCAAGGATGAGTTTATGGTGAAAAACCAGAGCCTTGGTTTCAAGATTCAGGTGTTCTCGAAGCTCGCCAAAAGGGGTGAACTTCGAGATATTGAAAATAGTTACATTACAATGTGTACTGTAACATTTCTCTTGGTGTAGGCCCTTCTAGAGGGTAGTTTCAAGACTCTTCGTGGTCGGGGACAGTGTGGCACTATTCGACATAACTGTATCTCGGCTCTTGGGGTTTCTAGAGGCTGGGATTCCTTCCCAACTCGTAACTCTTCCTAATTTGTGTTCTAAGAATATAGTGGCTGCCATAGTGCCGTTCGTTCAAACTAATGTTGCGTCGTCAATTCATAATGAAATTGTGCAACCTAAACTGCCTGTTGTACACAACCTCAAGACGCTCCAGATCCAAGTTAAAGCAGGTCATTTAGAGCTGTGACTAGAATGCTATGAACGCTTAAAGTTGCCGTGCAGAAATCCGACTGTGCACTCTATCTTTCGATTTTAGGCACATTCAAGCCTATTGTGACTATAACAAGTGGTATCAGAGCGCCTTGGAGAAAGGGGTGACAGAGGTGCTGCCTTGGAGAAAGGGGTGACAGAGGTGCTAGAGGCAGTGGAGAAGCCCAAGCACAAGGTCAACCCCGTGATTCAGCCATGGCGCCCGTGCAACCTACTCTTGGACCTTCTAGGGATGAACCAAGAGTGTTCGGACTTGACAAGTTCAATGGCAACAACTTTGCTAAATGATCCTTCATGATGGAGAACGTATTCGACCGCTATGACCTGCTGGAGGTGATGGAATTAATGGAGAAGCACCCCGAGAACGACCTGGAGAAGAGCCCATGGGTGCGGAAGAGCGCACAAAACTATCTCCTACTTGGGCAAGCGTTGGGGAGCAGCCAAATCCGTCACATCAAGCCATTCCAGCGTGAACCAGAGAAGGGATCAAAGGCATGGGCATGGGTGTACATGCTCCTGCAATAGCGGCGGTAGTGGTGGTGTTGGAACGGCAAATGGCGACACTACAAATTGAAGAGGATGAACCCGTTGAAGAAGGGGTGCAGAAATTCTTCGACTTGTTGACGCGGCTTGGGGGAGCTGATTTGAAGTACAGTGAGCTCCAAAACAAGACCAAGTTGCTGGCCCTACTCCCTGAGTTTTGGTCCTCGCTCATCATCAACATGAATCTCGACTTGCCCCGCCTCTCGCTTGAAGACGTGAAGCGAGCGATCCTTCAAGAGGTTCTCCGCCGCCCTGAGTTGGCGGGTGCGGATGGCGCTGAGGCAACAAGCATCGGCCGTGGATATGGCCGTGGAAGGGGCAGAGGACGAGGAGGAGGCAGATTTGGTGGCAGCAACTTCAGTGGAGGCCGCGGAAACAGTAATTACGGCAATGACAACAAGAACTGTGGTCGCAGTCGCAAACGATTTGACGGCGAGTGACACTTTCGCCACAAAAGCGGACACATGTGGCGTGATTGCTACAAACTCCCTGATGGATGGACCCCCGCACAAGGCCAAGAGGGTAGAGGAGCAGGTGGAGGTAGAGGAAGAGGCCGTGAGGTCGTGGCGGTCGCGGAGGTGGTGCTGCAAATAAGAAGTGTGGAGACAACGAGAGCGACGATCGACGATTGCTTCCCGTGCCAATTCTTCTACGTCTCGATGCAAGCACTGGCTGCACCAGAGAAGGATGAAGGCTTTGAGGAGCCAGCAGCTGTGGGAAAGGTCACCCTACACTCCCTAGACTATTGGGTGATTGATAGTGGCGCTTCCTAGCATGACCCCTCGCGCGGACTTGCTCAACGAACTTGAACCGTCACTGGTGAAGCGTGTCACATCGGCTTTGGGGCAGCGAGCAGAGGTGAAAGGCATAGGCAATGCGATGTTCAAGGGTGCTGATGGGAAGATGGTGGGCCTCAAGAACATGCTTTGGATGCCCAGCCTTGCAGCCAACCTGATTTCCGTGCCGCGGTTGCAAAAGGCCGGCATGGACACGAGCTCGAAAGGAGCCAAGATTTACATCGCAAGACTTGGCGAGCGGATTCTTTGGGACCTCCACGAGGACAAGGATGTTTACAATGAGATGTGGCAGATCTCTGTGGTCCCAATGCCTAAGAAGAGGCAAGTGGCAGCAAGTGTCAGCACCAAGGGTGAAGCGGTTGGTAGCGTCGATGGCACCAATGACGGTGCCAAGAAGAACGAGTCAAAGAAGAGCAATCTTGGAGGGTCCAGCAAGTTGTGTGATCATAAGGAGAGCGGTGTAGCAGCGAAG